ATATTACACAAATATATACACATATGCAAATTAGATATTTTACGTGTTCAGAAATTAGCTTCCAATATTCTGAAAAGAATAAAAAGAGTAAGGCTTCAATAATGTTAACATTCCATTACATTTTTTACCCCATTACTAGACTAACAGGGTACCAAACCATAAACAGGAGAGTTAGTTGGCCAATAATTTACAAAATATTCAGCCACCGCTACAATCCACTGTTTCCTGTGAAAGGGTACACCACCACTGTCCGGACCGTGTATGGACTTTGCATTCCAAACCGCCTGTACAGCATCAAATGGTTTTGCCCCCTTTGGTAAGGGCCTTTCGGAGTTTCGTGAAATATACTGAGAATTTTGTTTTCATTCTTTCTTTAACCCTTACACATTTTATACATATCCATGGCCAGAGAAAGTACAGAACTTCCCTGAAGATAACGTCTGAGGCCAACAAATGAAGCAGGATTTGAATGTGAAAGGAGAAAAAAGTTTTGGTCTATCGAATCAATTGTATCAATAGCACACATGATGTTGTTAATGTAATCTTTTGATGTCTAAGTGATAAAATATATCCCAAGTATTTCAGTAAATGGCAATATATTTTATGAGGGAACATACAATTTTAAGCTACCACAATCAACTAGGAAACAAATCTTATGTTAATAAGGGAGCACAGTGCTATTTTGACAAGCATTGCAGATATTTAATTCTTAAACACTTCCTTCCTTACCCCTCACTTTTAACATACTATTTTTTTAAGTGCTTTGAAAACTATAACATTATACAAGTAGGAATAAAACAAAATTATTTATACATACATTAACACATGTCTTACAGCTTCAACTATTACTCTCCTTCCCTTAGTCTTACGGCCATAAAAAAAGAGAAAACGGCATTTCATTAAGCCAACAGTTAAAAGTCCCATTAATATTTCATTACTGAAGGCTGCCTCTGAAATATGAATTGGTGCTTAACATTTTTATGAAGTGTGCTTCCTCGTTTGTAATCTTAATATCAAAATGATTGTTCTAGCTCCTTCTTCAACATTGATAGATGGTAAGATATTTTTACCACCATCTCTTTAGAAGCAGCAAAGCAGATCGTAATGAATTGACCAATATGGTATGCTTCTTCTCTCTATCTAAAACGCATTTGTGCATTATTTGTATAGCCTTATATAGCCCAATAGTAACTCATGCATTTTATAGTTTTTTTTTTTTTAAATGTTCTCACTTGATCTTTCCCATTTTAAAGCAGGGGCACATTGGGTGTTGCGAGAGTCTCCTGATTACTTCTCCCTCATGTGTTTGAGTTTGCAAGCCATTACACTGGTGAAATTCTTAAAAAATAGACTTTGGGAACCTGTAGCTTTAACTGACATGAAATAGTTTATTTGGAGATATTATGGTAAATACAGCTATAGAATAGAGAGTTTAAAATATCTCTTTTCATAATCCATTCTGTTCAAACCATGTATAGGAATTGTTATTTACACTTCAAGATGTCAGTATCCCTTCTAGGGGCGCTGAAATCTGTATTTCAATCCACATCCTAATTTTTTAGTTTATGGATGAAAATATTTGAGTAATGTCAGCAAGGTGTGAAACTCAAAACCTGACAGCTTTGGGAAAGTTGTGAATATCTCTACAGCCGTTATAGCTTATTAGTTATGGTAAAAGTGTCCTTCAATGGCTACGACAGGCTGGGAGATCCTGAGTGGGGGGGGGGAGGGTAGCTCTACATTCTTATCTTACAACAGCATTGCAAAGTTGGGCAGGCTAATGTTGTAAGACTATAGGTGTTGGGGGGTTGTGGGGAGGGAGCCTTGATTTTTAACAAACTGCTCAACATTGATATGACATAAAATAGCAGGAAGGCACCCATAAGCACTTTACAAACAATGAGGTGAATTGGTTATGGTTCTTAGTGTGTCTCTTTTTTCTCATAATAAGGTGAATGATGCATCTATACATAGTTATATGAGAGACATGGTAAAATAATATGAATAACTGTGTATGCAAATCAGGAGGCTCCTCTGATATGTCTTAGTATCTAAGCACATTTAAAATGTGCCATGTTTCTCTTTGAGATAAAAAAAAAAAAAACATGATAAAATTATATTAGCAGAGCGTGGTCAATAAGGGCAGGTGGGCCGGTTCCCATCCAATTTGTGTTTTGATACAATGAAAAAAAATCTAATAGATTGGTGTGGTATAGATTAATAATAAATGTGTGTTAGAAAAAAATATTTGGTGTCTGTCGAGTTCTTCTGCAGTCTCCTCTTCCACATATCTATTAACGGATGGATACTACTCAGAGGTTCTGCAAATGATTATCTCAAGATATTAAGACATAGTTGAAAGAGTTCCCAATTCTGTGGAAATAGACCAATCAGATATGTTTACTTTGCTTTAACAGGATTTCTGACATCATTCTTTGGCTTTGCATTGAACTAACAGATCCTGTGTGACCTAAAATACAGGAGAGAATACTGTTTTGTTTTTTTCTAATTTTGGAACAAGTAAGGTAATGCTGGTATTTCTTTCCACATCTGATTAATTTTGACATATGTCCTGGGCAGGGTTTGAAAAGGAAAATAATTTAGATAGCTAGTACCAAGCTATAGAGACAGGATTACAGGTATAGATTTAAAATATCAAATTTAAAAGGAGCTACTTAAAACTTAGACATATAGCAGTACATTAAAGACCTTAAAGGGACACTATGGTCAAAAAACTACTTTAGCTCAATGAAGCAGTTTTGGAGTATAGATCTCTGTGTGCTGTCCCTTAATCTGTATTTGCAAAGAGTAGGCACATCCAATAAGCAAGACTTTATATGGCAACAATTAAAGTCATGAGGGAATCCAGGTGGGTCATTTTCTCTGAATAGTTACTTACATAAAGATTTTGAGTATGAATAATACACATTTCTACATATGCTATGTGGCTTTAAAGTATAACGATGATGCTATACTCTAAAATTCTTCATTTGGGAGAGAAACACAGAGGCTTTCACATTTAGACAGGTTCATCTTACACCCTGATATTTAGAATATTAAGCAATTGTCCTTTAAAGACATGACGCAGAAATCCTAAGATTTTAAACTGACAGGATATCATCCGCAAATAGGCTAATGCATTTAATTCATGATTTTTTATTTTTTTTTCATTGTTTTTATATTTTAATAGTAGCATCATTTTTTTGTGGATTTTTATTTTGCCTTTTTTGGGGGTATGAAGAAAAGAAGGCATAAGAAGAAATAAGACTAGATTTCACTAGTTTTTAATCACAGTGACCAACTGCTGGTTTCTCACTGTTTAGCAGACATGCCCAACCCACAGATCACACAGATATTTGGGACAGATCTGAACTGGCATTATGCCATCAACACTGGTAGCATCCCAAAATAGGTCTAAAACATAACACTCAGTGGTGACAGACATACAACAGTATCAGAAATATATTATGAAACATGTATTTTTTTTTTTGTACAAATCTCATTTTATGCAATCATGAATTTAATCCCTTACGCCTATTCTTTTACTTTTTCCCCCTTCCCATTTTTTTAATGTATATTTTTATTGTTTATTATTGTTTTTTTATAGATTGCTGATAACATATATTTTCAAAATTGTTCACTTAAAATAATTTAAAAACAAGTTGCTAAGAAAGGAAATTTTAAAAAGGTATTCACATACGCCAATAAGGACAGGTCAAATCAGATACCATGCGTTATAAAGATACATCATATAACCTGTATGGAAAGGGCAAGAGGCCACATTACCAATCATGGTAACACAAACAGAGGTTGGAGATGTTATATATATTAACATACACAAAAGGCAACTCAGAACATGAAAGCAGACAATTGCTCCAAAAATATGTTGCTATGGAGTAAATTCCTTGCATAATTTACTTTTTTTTTCTCCTGCATTTTTTTTATTCTATTCATTCACAATGTAATAAAGTTAAATTGTATATTTCTAAATCTGTAAATAACGTTGACGTTGGAAGACTCCTTAAATAATATATGTGTTCTCTTTTCTACGAGAGAAATGAAAATATTGGTGCTTGCTTTTATTCAGTTGCTAAGAAACAAATTGCTGGTTTTAGTTTGTTTTTCTTCTTCCTTCGTAAGGATAATTAAATGTGTTTTAATATGGTATGTTTTATGAGAGAAACTTTGCCTGGGGTTTTAGAAGATGCCACTGTCTCTATATACACATCCGAGTAAAAATTCACCACGTTAAAATCAGGATATGACTTGTTTTATTCATATTGACCACGTAAAATAATATTTTCATTTATTGCATTAGCTCATTATAACATTGGTTACATAATAATTAAATAAATACAAAAATAAACTGGAAGGCAAATAGGCATTGCGAGGGAGCAGTGGTGGAAGAGCACAAAGATTACACAAGTCTTACACTGGACTCTAGGGAAAGGATCCACTTCAACTCTCACAAAGATAAGGAGGCCTGGTGGACCTAAACAAAAATAATAAAAAAAAAACAATCTGTGAGTGTGTGAGAGAATGTGTATGTATCTGTCAATGAGTGTCTGTCTGCCAGTGAGTATGTTTGTGTCTATCAGTGTGTGAGGGTTTGTCAGTGAATGTGTTTGTCTCTGTCAGTTAATGTTTGTAGTAATCAAATTCCCAAGCACACTGATCCATTAACGTGAGCAGTCTTTATTAGAGCAACTCTTTGGCTCTGCTATAGAGCCTTTATCAAGGTCTATAGCAGAGCCAAAACATTGCTCTAATAACATTTGCTCACATTAATGGATCAGTGTGCTCTGGAATTTGAAAACTATCTGTACTATTAGGGACATGCCGTCCCACCTGGCTATATCAACATATTTGTTTCACGCGTGCATTCTCCATTGGTTTGAAAACAGTGAATGTATGTGTGTGTCTGCCGTTTTCTGTGTTTGTCAGTGTGTGTCAAATTGATTAGTGTGTCTCAGTGAATGTGTATGTGTCAGTAAGTGTGTCTGTCACTGAGTGTGTGTGTTTCTGTAAGTTTGTCTGTCAGTGTGTGTCAAATCAGTGAGAGTGTGTCTGATAGTGTTTGTCAGTGTCCTCTGTATGTAGAAATTTCCTCCATTATGAATGGCTAGCACTGACTGTATTATCACGTCACACCACTCACTTATGATCTTGTGTTTCTCAGAGTTCTATTTACTAAGCTGAGAATTTTGTCTGGATCATTTTGTCTGAATGGACAAAATTAAGTGAAAATAAACAACTGGATTTGCAATTTTCACATTTATTGGTAAATCTTAGTCAGTAACATAGAGCTCCTGATTTTAATTCAGTCAATTTCTCATGCAAATCCAATCCTATTTCAAACATTGCATATTTACCATATACCATATACACCAGACTTCTGCAGGATCTTGAATGGATAAAGGTAAATACAGCTAATTTCTTAATTAGCTGCTACATTTATTGCAATCCAGATAATCTTGCCATATTCACACACATACTGACCCATGCAGACGTGCACACACACACAATGACCCAAGCAGACACAAACATACTGACTCTTACCTTCATTTCAGGTATCAGTTGTCAGGATTATAGTTGATCCAGCACGCAGAATTGTATCACACCTAAAGACTAAGTATAACGTCTAACCCGACCTTAGAATGGCCGGACTTAACATACCAAAGAATAGTCAAAATACATGCCGAGGTCAGGGACACAGAATGAGACGCAACGATGAGAAAAGCCAGAAGTCAAGGATACCAGAAATCAGGGAAGTCAAAACAAAGCTAAAGTCAAATACCAGAAAAAAACGCGATCAGGAACACACTCTCTGATAACCAGCTAGTGGAAACCAAGACAGGGCACTGGCAAAAAGATCATTTGTGTTTCAATAACCCTCTTTAGGCCCTAATTGTCTGTCTCTGACCCCAAAACGTGCATGCACTTCTATGATGTGACGTCACAAGAACGTTGGTGCCATCTTTAATGTGGGCGAAGATACGTTTATTATAAAATCCTGATCCGCAGCGGCCGGCGTTCCTAAGAATGTCGCACCCGCTGGTGACTGGACCAGAGGGAGACCGGGCAGCTGCCCGCCGCGACTAAGGTAAGTTTGAAACCTTTCTGTCGGCGTGACTGCCTAGTTTACGTGCAGCCACACCGACAGAAGAGCCGAGAGCCGTGACATCAGTTGACTGTTCATGAGTTCCAGGCATCATGACTGCGCCTGCCAGCCTGTCACTGCCTGACTCAGACCCACTTCATGCAATGACCCACCCACTTGTGCCAACATACAGTGCAGGAGGTGGGAGCTGCTTCACTGGGTGTCTGGGAGGGGGGCCTGGCTGAAGTGGGCTGAAGTGGGTCCAGAGGCACTAGTCAGTATGTAAGTGTTCCTAGTGCCTGATAATGTGGCCTCCGACATGTTCTAACTAAATATTCCCAATTGATAGAGGGGTGGCCCAAGCGAGCAGTAAAGCCTGCCTGCTGGTGCCCCCCTTAAGGAGTACCCTAGACTGTTGCCTATTTGCCTACAGGAAGCACCAGCCCTGACTGCACTAACCAGCAGCAGTAACATTGATAACAATTCAATCTAGAATGGATAGTCACTAAAATGAGAATTGTTTTTATTGATTTCTGCCAATTTTTTTTTAACTTGTTACAATTTGCTCAGAGTTTAAATCCAGCACCTATTATTCCCAGCAGAAGATTAATTTATTTGACAAAATTGCAAAAAAATGATCTTATGCATTGAGCTGAAAGAAAGAGACTTGTTCTGGAAACATATGAAAAAACATGTCTAAATCTGCTGCTATGTTATACAAGTTGTTGAATGTTGACACGTCCCGGACTTACTAAAGTTTTATTGCACAAAGCTGTGGTTGAAACAACCTTAGCCAATCCATGGGAACTCTTGCAAAATTGACATTGCCATAATGTAACTGACGTAAGCATTACCACTTAAAATTCAATTTAGTACCTCCCACCCATCCCTCTAAATGTATTTTATCACACGGGCTTTCAAAACATTTACAGGCAATAAATTGAATTTATAATATAAACTTAAAATTCAATGAAAACACAAAGCATAGTAAAATAATTAAATAAAATTACAAGCAAAAATAATCCACAGCATACCACGGACCCCAAACCATTGCACCTCTGCCGTCGCAGGGGACAGACCCAGTTAACATCCCCCTGGGCAGACCATGGCACTCTGCTGGGCCCAGTAGATGTACGAGTTCCCGATCACCCACACACGCCAGGCGGTTCCTACGGAGAAACAACAGGGGAAATTGCAATCAGACTACAAGGATGAACATAACTCCTGAACATTAGCTGAACTAACCAATTCCCCAATCTGCAACGCCCCAAAAAAGACAAAAATAAAGATGAGCTGAAAGAGCTAGAAAAGCATTGCACCGGCAGAACTGAAAACAGAACCAAAAGCAAGACCCTGGACATGGGCCTGCCCGAGTAGGGGGTCCTAGGGCCCCTCCCCCACCCTCTCATTGCCAACACGACCATCACATTCTTAGTGACATCAGGAACCCTGGACAATTTGAACCAAAAACTGAGCCTTAATAGTTTAGCCGAGACTGAAGACAGCCTCCCAAAACATAAGAAGCTGCAGCAACCCAGTGAGATGATTCTCAGTGGTAGAAAACCCAGCCTGGGCCTGTTCAAATGCCACCCATTCCTCCCAGGCCTTACTATACCGGGAAAAAAGTAGCCTCCAAAACCGACGCCCGAATCCAAGCCGCTACACAGTCTGCCCAAGGGACCACAGTTACACCTTGGGTGAGGCCACACAAAACTCCTGCCACTGCAAACAAGAGAGGGCATTTTCAGATCATTTCTTCTGCATGTATGGTTCAAGAAAATGAGACATACAGGTCTCGGGTATAGGGATTAAAAAGTAAAGTTAAGGTTCAAAGCATTGCAGACTCTCAGGTCCATGTTTTGGTGTATAGCTTTTTGGCTCGCAGGCCTCAATCATGATGGTGAGGATGGTAAGGTGGGCCGGTGTCAGTGCCATCATGCCTGGTCAGTGGTTGTGACAAGGTAATTCTGCAGAGGGCCCTAACTATAGTCGTCGGTGGGAGGGGGTTAAGAGCAGTGTTGCAGGGTTGGGGAAGAAGCAGAGTGGGAAGAGATATGAAGGGGGATGAGAAGGTATAGAGAGATGTGCAGAAAAGTGGGAGTATGTGGGGGTCTCAGTGGGGTTCGTCACTCTAAAGTAACGACTAGGAATATGCGTCGTGCAGCAGACACGCACAGTGCAACCAGTGGCCCGTGCATCTCGCTCACCTTCCTGTAGATGCTGCTTCCTGTGGGGTGATGGAAGGAGGCCTGGGTCCTCTGTGTAACCTGCGTTTGTATCTGGTCTGTGTCACTCGAACCTTTCGACCTTCGAATAGACTGTCACAAATTCAAAGTGCCCCTGTTCGGTTCTATGAAGTAGAATTATAACAGTATGTATTAATCCTCGCTTCTAATGATTTGGCCCTGAGGCCTACATGGGTAAACAGTACCTTCTCATTATCTATCACAACATTGGTAAACAGAAAAACTGTAAAAAGTAACAGTAAAAATACTTTGTCATTTCGGAGCTTAAAGTGTGGCATATCTTAGCTTTTAGGTATGGTAGCACGTTTCCTCTCGCTCGGGGGGAGCTAGAGTTTGTCTGATTGTCCCTCCATATCAGTGTCGCCATCTGTTTAGCCCAGTTTCGTCCAGTCACCTCAATCAACTATCTCGGAATGCCCCGATTATCAGGCTCATAATGTGTGCGTGACTAGATGGTAGCGCATGACCCCTCTCCCGGGACCCAGTGGTGTGGTGCTCTCCCACCTCACTGCATTGTCAGCTATGTCTCTCCATCTGGTTGGGTACCCGTTCCACCTCCCCCCCTTTACGTTAGTGCCCAAAGTACTGGTCTCAGGTCATGTCCCTATCTGCGTGTTGTGTCCTGGGCTCCATCCCTATCTGTAGTCTCTTGTTGTTGTTGCCGTTCTCGTAGCGCCACCCCCTGCCTGCTCCCTGGGCATTCATTACAGGTCAGATGAGCCCCAGCGGTGATGCCCAGCCCAAGTCCCAAGTTCCAAGCTCCCCTGTGGTAGACCCCTGGTGCATGTGTACATGTTAGGGAGTCGAAATCTGCAGTGTGGGGATTTCTCTGCTCAATGCAAGGATCAGAGTGTGCAGCCGGCTGAGTTCTCCACCCCATTACCCCCTACCAGCTCCAACCTCTGTTAGGGGGTCATGAGTGACATGAGAAATGTGGGGGCATAGTACCTTGAGAAATGTGGGGGCATCCCCTTGCTAGTCCCCGAGGGGTGCCCCCCACCCACCCCCTTGCATGTCAGAGTCTGTAAGCAGCAGTGGGAGCCATGTGACTCGGCACTACTCCGTGTGTGAAATGCCGCATAGGCCGATTACTTGCAGTTGGACAGGACCTCCGCATGTCGCAGCCATCTAGAGGCAATGTCCTCCACGACCTTGCAGCATCTAGTCACTGGTGTCCCGTAGAGGGTCAGATGTCATAAACCAGAGCCGCATTAAGAGCCCATTGGGCCTGGTGCTGACAATTATGATGAGCCTAATTACAGACTTAAAAAACCACTAAAACAGTTATACCTCCTAAGCATCATGGATCTGGCGGTGATGCTGGAGGGAAGCTCACAGGATATAGCTATCAGAAAACACATAATCTATGCTAATCTCTCGCTTTCTTGTAAATCCATACCCCCTAACAGCAGGTCCGGTGAAGCAGAATGTCAGTGGGTGGGGTAAAAGGGTGATCACGTAACCAGAACCACCCAGGGGTGAACATGCCCAAAAAGGGGGCGTGTCTGCACAAAGAATTAGATGGCCAGCCTGGTGTGAATGCATGTCAGGTTACCTGCCAATCATGCTGGATGACTAACCAAGGGCAGACTGTGCAGACAGCACTCTGAGCTTAGCACAAATGCATTTAATGATGCACTAGCTCTACGCTTTCTAAGCACTCACTGGTCCACTATACCTAACCACAATACCTAACCTTCTTACTAGGAGGCAGAAGCTCCTGTTACACAGTCTAAGCTAAATAAAAGTGTATGCAGTGCGTGTAGAAGAATTGTGATTGTGTGTGGGTATATCTGTGTATGTGTGTGTGGGTCTGTGATTGATTGTTGGTATATGTAATTGTGTGTGGGGTCTGTGTGTGTGTGTATGTCTGTGTGTGTGTGTGTACATTTGTGATTGTGTGTATGTATGTGACTGTGTGTATTGGTATGTGATTGTGTGTGTGTGTGTATTTGTGATTGTGTGTATAGGTCTGTGATTGTATGTGTGTGTTTGTGATTATGTGTATAGATTTGTGACTGTAAGTATCTGTAGTTATGTGTGCATATGTCTACACATGTGTATGTGTTTAGTAGATAGCTCCCTAATTTGATATCCCTAAATATGCCAATCCCACATAAGGATAAAAAATAAGGGAGTTATCTACTAAACAATTGAAATAGCAAAATTAAGAAAAGGGCTTTTAAAGATATATTACTTATATACATGATCTATAATCTATAATATATATTTGATGTGTGGCCCAAGAGAATTTCTCTGCGCTCAATGCGGCCCAGGGAAGTCAAAAGGTTGGACACCCATGGCCTAGCGATTAGGCCAGGCAACATTGTAGCCATTTTTTTATTTGCTATTTTGGTTCATCCAAATCATTTCTGGGAATGATTGTTTGGGTTAAATAAGTCTGAACCAAAATGTCACATGGACACAATTTAGTCCTCCTAAATAGAAAAATAAATCTTTGTATTACTTACAGTAAACTGTTCCTTTAAGTTAAAGAATCTGACAACATTGGAAATAAGCCTTTAGTGAATTCTTGGCATTCATTGCAATCTGTAATTGGAGCCTCAAATGCCTTTTATAATACAGGTGCATGGTGAAACTAAACAATTTGTGGGGG